TGGCTTACCAGGCCCTACATGACCTGGCTCCCGCCGACCTCAACAAACCCTTTCTGACCATCTCCTTTTCACTCACTCACCAAACTCCACTGGCCTTCATGCTATTTTCTTCAATTAGCAAAGTTCAAACTAACAGTTTACTCTGCCAGACAGACTTTGCCCAGATCTTTACATTTGCTTCTATCTTTCCATCTGAATCTGAATCTTCTCCCATAAACTCTCCCATAACTCTGTCATTCTCTTTTCTCAGTCCCTCCCTTTAGTCTGTTTTAAATTATCTTCACAGCACTTATCATTTTCAAACATTTTCATATAGCTTCATAAATTATTTGTTATCTTACTTATTTTCTGCTTCTCCCCACTGGAATGTTAGTTGTAGCTTTGCTCTTGGTTGAACCACTAAGGTTTATAACAGTACCCGCACAAAGAAATGCTCAATAAAAAAGTTTGTTTCTTATTAAAGAAATTATTTGAAATTATAAAAAGTATATATATCCAAGAGGTGTGTAATAAATGCATACTCTTATGATTATCTATAAAAATGGAGCTTAAAAACATTATTTTGTGTATTTCTGTTATCAAGTTCTGGGACCTAAAACACTGTTAACTTATAATGACAAGTAAAACACAGCTAAATAACAATCTTGGTTAATATTACAGGAAATGAAAATTGAATAGTCTCCCCAACATCATATGAATATGAACATACTGTTAAAACTTGATAGAGAATTCTGAATTCTTAAGATTTCTTAATTGACGGACTCCTTTGGGAAATTCTTTAGAATCAGTCAGACTTTGGTTAAAGTCCAACTCTTCCAGTTACTAGCTGGATGTTCTGGACAGTTTATTTAATCTCTCCCTAAATATAAATGTTCTCTTTTGTGAAGTTGGCATAATAATAATATCTACTTCATAAGATTATTGTGAGCATAAAATTGATATCACAGATAATTTAGACAATCCTTCTATAAATAAGCATTCAGTAAAAGTTATTATATTTTGTTACTATTATAATATAGATAAACCAAAAGGAAATGTGAGGCCAAGATATTTTTTAACATTTTTTTCTTCTATGTAACTGTCATCCAGCATGATACCTGACAAATAAGGCATAATAATCTGCCATCAGTGACAGGATTCTGTCATCATAAATAATCAGTGAATGAGAATATGGGAAGAGTTTTAAATCCATGCAAAAAGAGGAGGTGTTTGTGGTATGCTTTTTTCCCATATCAACTAGACAAACATGATATTTTGGAGAAAGATTTCAGAAAGGCAAAGTATTATAACAAAAAAATCAGTTAGGAAAGTCAAAATTAAAAGAAAAACAATTGTATCAAAAAGAATAAAATACCTAGGAATAAATTTAATCAAGGAGATGAAAGACCTATGCTCTGAAAACTATAAGAAACTGATGAAGAAACTGAAGTCAACAAAAACAAATGGAAAGATATACTATATTCATGAACTGGAAGAATTAATATTGATAACATTCCCATGTGACCCAAAGCAGTCTATAAATTCTGTGCAATCTCTATCAAAATATCAATGACATTTTTCATAGAACTAGATCAAATAATCCTAAAATTTGTATGGGAAAGACCCCAAACAGCCAAAGCAATCTTGAGAAAGAAGAACAAAGCTGGATGTATCACAATCCCTGAATTCAAACTATACTAAAAGCTATACTGATCAAAACAGTATGGTATTGGTGCAAAAACAGACACAGAGATCAATGGAACAGAATAGAGAGCCCAAAAATAAACTCACACTTATATGGTCAATTAATCTACACCATGCGAGGCAAGAGTATAAAATATGGAAAAGACAGCCTCTTCAATAAAAAGTTTGGTAAAACTGGACAGCTACATGCAAAAGAATGAAACTGGGCCACTGTCTTATGTCATTCACAAAAATAAACTCAAAATGGATTAACAACCTAAATGTAAGACCTGAAATCATAAAACTCCTAAAAGAAAACAGGCAGTAAACTCTTAGACATCAACATCAGCAAATTTTTCCTGTATATGTCTCCCCAGGCAAATAAAACAAAAGCAAAAATAAGCAAGTGGGTCTACATCAAACTAAAACAGTTTTGCACAGCTAAAGAAACCATCAATAAAAGAAAAAGACAACCTACTGAATGAGAGAATATATTTCCAAATAATATGTCTAAAAAGGGGTTACTATCAAAAAAATAAAGAACTCATTACAACTCAACATTAGAAAAACAAATAATCCAATTTAAAAATGGACAAAGGACCTAAGTACAGTTTTCCAAAGACATACAGACAGCCAACAGACAATGAAAGATGTTCAATATCACTAATCATCAGGAAATTACAAATCAAAACCACAATGAGATACCACCTCACACCAGTCAGAATGGCAAGTATCAAAAAGACAAGAAATAACAAGTGTTGGCAAGGATGTGCAGAAAAGTGAATCCTCACGCACTACTGGCAAGAATGTAAAATGGTGCAGCCTCTACGGAAAACAGTAAGGAAGTTCCTCAAAAAATTAAAAATAGGAATACCATACAATCCAATAATTTCACTTTGGGGTATTTACCCAAAGAAAGTGAAAACATTAATTTGAAAAGATACATGCACTCCTATGTTTGTTGCAGTATTACTTACAATAGCCAAGATATAAAACAGCCTGTGTCCATTGATAGATGAATGGATAAAGAAGTTGGTATACACACACACACACACACACACACACACACACACACACACACACACACTGAAATATTATTCGGCTACAAAATCTTGCCATTTGCCACAGCCTGGAGGGACCAGAGGGCATTATGTTAAGTGAAATGAGTCAGACAAAGAAAAATACCATATTATTTCACTTATATGTGGGATCTAAAAATAAAACAAATGAACAAACAAACAAAACAAAAATAGACTCATAAATACAGAGAACAGACTGATGGTTGCCATAGTGGAGGAGGGTGAAAGGACAGGCCAAATAGGTGAAAGGGATAAAGAGGTACAAACTTCCAAATTTAAAATAATAAGTCATAGGGATGAAAAGTACAGAATAGGGAAATGTAGTCAATAATATTATACTTTGTATGATGACAGATGGTAACTTTGTATTTATCATGGTGAGCATTTTGTAACGTATATAATTGTAGAATCACTGTGTTGTATACCGGAAACCAATATAATATCGTATGTCAACTATTCAGTTAAAAATTTAATAAAGAAAGAAAAAGGAATTAAATTTACCAGACATATCTTTAGGACAAGAGAGTATGAGTGAACCTTCTTTTACATAGTAAATATATTCTTAGAAAAATAAGTATAAAATCAAATTTTTATAAAATGAAACTTTTTTATACAGTAGTGGAAAGTTCTTTATAAATTAATCTTATTATGAATTATATTGTATAGGAAGACCCTTTCATGATTTCAATAATAAAACCTAATTTATATTATATGTAATTTTAGATGTTCCTAAGTTACTTTTGCTTGAAGCCAAATATGAACTTAAAATACTAATGCAAACTGTAAATGCACAATAATTTCACTATTATAAGGAGGAAAAATATCAGACTAAAAGTTGATAGAAATTATCCTAAAAGGTTTATTTTTCATCTATGATCATAAAAGTACACCATTTTCAGCCATTTTTTGTGTTAAATCACAAGGTGTTGCCAAGAGAAAGTGGAAATTACATACAAAAAGGAAAAACTTTAAAGATGTTCAGAACACAAAATAAGTAGATCCAAAAAAGGAAGATATTGACATACTTAATATGAAGACTAAGCTCTCTATATTTATCAGGTTCATTGCACCAACGACAGACTTTAAAAGAGAAAAGAAAAAGACACAGCCTTGCTAGAATAATTTACTAAACTAAACCTTTAATAAAAATGTCACAATAATAGTTATTATATACCAAACACCTACTATATACAAGTAATAAGTTATCTTTGACTCTTAAATAACCTTACAAGATATGTATCACCACCCCATTCATCTTAACCCCAGAGAGGTTAAGAGATTTACCCAAAGCCATCTTGTCATTAATACAAGGGAAGGAATTTGAACTTAGGTCTGTCCTTTGAAAACAGCATTCTAACTCCCAAGTAGCATCATATAACAATTTTTTAAAACATATTTTGTCTCATTACAATGATGATAGTTATGAAAGAAATCCTTTAGGGAATTACAGAATACTAAAGCATTCGTGAGACAACAGCAATACTGGTTATTCCACTGGATGAAGCCAAAAGGAACTACCAGAATTAAGGTATAAAGTAATATGACTATGACATATTACCAATAAGACAATAAGAAGCTCTTTTAAATCTCTAGTAAATGTCCATCAACCTTTGTTAACCCAGCAGAAAGCAAAGAATGGGATCACATGGCTTTGTGGTTCAATAAAACAATATCTCAACTCAAACACTTCAATCACATCTTAAGAAATGATTTCTAAAATAAACTGGTAGTAAGGTGGTGAATAGGAACAGTGAAAATAAAATACGTACAAAACAAAGATAACAAGTTAAGCCTTAAACTATTCAGGGGAATGTAGATAATTACAATGACTTACGAGAAAAAAAGGTTTTCTGATTAAATACCATTCTGAAAACAAGTAGTCATTGACAAGGAATAAAATCAATGATTTTAAATTGAAGGAAAGAAACTTGATCATCATATTCCATCTTAAACTTTTGTGTAAAAAAAGAGAGATGTCCAAAACCTACATAAATAACTAGAATGTATCCTATCAAGAAGTGATAAAGTGATAAAGGAGTGAAAAAAGTTCAAACCTCAAACATACAGATAAGAATTAAACTTGGACACAGAAAGCATAAAATAGGAAGCCTTTCATTGGTTTACTGGTTAATGGAGTTACTCTAGATTTTACTGAAGTACAGACTATTAAAATATAATAACTGCACTGAGTCGATTCAATGTTACATTAAAATAAGAAATCAGTACAAAATATTCTGTGAACATAAATGAAATTTCTACCTTTGGCCATTTGGGATTGAGAAGTCGAGCTTTGATTGCATCATCCAGCGCCTTGTCATACTGCTGGATTTTCATATAGGCTGCAGATCTATTGCTGTATAAAATGCAGTTCTGAGGGTCAACAGCCAGGGCTTCGTTGTACAGAAGGATAGCTGTGTGGAAATCTCCATCATGACAGGCCTGGTTACTCTGACGAACTTTCTCCACAAACTCAGCTTTGCTCAGCACTGGTCCATCAGGGCTTCTCCGCCCAATAGGTTTAACACCAAAGAGAGGAATCTACAAACAAAGAAACTTTGTGAGTCAAAATTCAGATAATCCAGAGGGATTGCTTGTCTGAACTTCTAGAGAACATGGGCATTCTTCACGGTCTGCTTTATATTATAGTTAACTCTTATGCCCTGAAAGACAATAAACTCTCCAAGAAACAGTCAATACAGGGCCTTGAATGCATATGTATACATGTATGTATGTTTATATATATATATATATATATAGACACATGTATATATACACATAGCTATAATAAACATGTTTATATTTACATAAATATTTATTTTTTGACTGAAAGAATGAATGAAGGCAAAAGGCTTTTCCTTGGCAATTTAAATTTATACTGAGGGAAAGGCTAAAATACAAACCTACGTATATAATATGATCTCAACTATGTTCAGATGGTTATACTTTAATGTAAGGAACATGATCAAAATATTAAGTATGCCAAATTATCTTTGGATGTAAGATTATGGGCTATTTTTTACTTTCTTTAAATTTTCTCATATCCAAATGTTAGGCAGTAAGCATATATAAGTTTTAAAATAAAAAAAATAAATTTTAATGTACCAATGAATTGTTTTAGAGTGGGAAATTTGGCAACTGTAATTTGGTTACTACCATGGAATTTCAAAGATAAACACCGGTTTTGGGAGATCACCAAAAAGAAAAAAATCTGCTGTAAATTTTATTTGGCAATTTAAGACCTGTTTTTTATGTTGATTTTTCCAAATCAGTAAGTTTTCTATGACTTTATAGCAATAATCTTCCAAGCCAAAGGGAGTGAATGAGTCAAACGTTATTCATTTTTAAAACAGGAAAATTAGGAACTTCATTATAGTCCCATGGGAAGAAACTTAAGACAGCCAAATCTGGAGAGACAGTTTGCAATTCTAAGCAGGCTGCCCTAAGTGAAATGGAAATGAAAAGTGAAATTTTCTTCCCCATGTCTTTCTTTAAGACTAAGTCCAGTCCATCCATTCAAAAGATGGCAGATGTGATATGTAACACAACAATACATAAAAAAGTAATAAACTCCTCACAGAGGTATTTAAGTGAAAAAGAACAAATTCTGCAGACAGAAGGAAGAATCTCCTCCATAGGAAGCCACTATTTTTCCTCTGATTATAGGGATATCATGTCCTGTTCCAGGACAATTTGAAACATTAAAATATCCTAGAATTTTCAAAAATGAGTGTCTAGTCATACACCTAACCTTCCTCGCACTGGACGTAGCTAGCCAGGGTGTATTCTGCTTGGTTGGATGGTTGGTTAGTCGGTTTCTGTAATGATGATCACCATGAATCAGTATTTGAAATGGACTATGTAACATCTACCAAACAACCAGAATTTTACTGACCAGTCTTGATTTTTAATTATTTTATCCACATCATCAAACCAATGTGTAAGACACTGACACTGTATATAGACTTGGAGATAACCATGGTTTCATTTGCAGAACACTGCAATTAAGCAAATAACACAATAAAGTGAATCAAATGAACTTTTTGGTTTCCCAGAACATTTAAATGTCCCAAAGTATATAACTGACTACACTGTAGTCAATTAAGTGTACAACGGCACTATGTCTAAAAATATGTGTATACATAGATTAAAAAATACTCCATTGCTAAAAAATGCTACCCATCATCTGAGCTTTCAGCAAGTCATCATCTTTTTCCTGGTGGAGGAACTTGCCTCCAGTACTGATGGCTGCTGACTGATCCCAGTGGTGGCTGCTGAAGGCTGGGGTTGCTATAGTAATTTCTTAAGACAAAACAACAATGAAGTCACATGCATCAATTGACTTTTCCTCTCATGCACAATTTCTCTGTAGCATGCAATGCTATTTGATAGCACTTTACCCACAATAGAACTTCTTTCAAAATTGAAGTCAACCTCAAACCATTATGCTGTTTTATCAACTAAATTTATGTAATATTCTAAATCCTGGGTTGTCATTTCAACAAGCTTCACAGCATCTTCACCAGGAGTAGATTCCATCTCAAGAAACCACTTTCTTTGGGCGTCCATAAGAAGCAACTCCTTATCTGTTAAAAGCTTTATCATGAGACTGCAGCAATTCAGCCACATCTTTGGGCTTCTAATTCTAGTTCTCTTGATCTTCCCACATTATCTGCAGTTGCTTCCTCCACTGAAGTCTTGAATCCCTCAAAGTCATCCACAAGGGTTGGAAGTCAACTTCTATCACATTCCTGTTCATGTTGACATTCTGACCTCTTCCCATAAATCATGAATGTTCTTATGGCATCTAAAATGGTGAATTCTTTCCAGAAGTTTTTTTATTTACTTTGCCCAGTCCCATAAGAGAAATGACTATCTATGGCAGCTATAGCATTATGAAATATATTTCCTAAATAATGAAGATTTGAAAATTGAAATTACCCCTCAATCCATGAAGTGCCGAATGGACACTGTGACAGCAGGCATGAAAACAGCACTGTGGAATATTGTCCTACGTCTGCATCAGAGCTCTCTGGTAACTAAGAGCATCACCAGTAAGAGAGGTATCTTGAAAGGAATCTTTTTCTAAGCAGTAGGTCTCAAGATTGGGTTTAAAACAGTCAGCCACGTTGTAAATAGAAGGGCTGTCATCCAGGCTCTGTCGTGCCATTGGCGGAGCACAGGTAGGGTAGCTTTAGCATAATTCTCAAGGGTCCTGGGATTTTCGGAATGGTCAATAAGCACTGGCTCCAACTTGGAGTTCTCAGCGGCATTAGCCCCTAACAAGAGAGTCCGCCTCTGAAACTTTGAAGCCAGGTATTGACTTGTCTCTGGTTATCAAAGTCCGAGACAGCATCTTCTTCCAGGATAAGGTCGTTTCACCTGCACTGAAAAATCTGTGGTTTCGCGCAGCCGCCTTCATCGAGGATCTCAGCCGGACCTTCTGGACGACTTGCTGCGGCTTCTACATCGGCACTTGCTGCTTCACCTGCACTTTTATGTTATGGAAAAGAGCCTCTTCCCTTAAACGTCATGAACCAACCTCTGCTAGCTTCAAACTTTTCTTCTGCAGCCTCCCCACCGCTCTCTGCCTTCATAGAATTGAAAAGAGTTAGGGACTTGCTCTAGGTTTGGGCTTAAGGGAATTCTAGCTGGTTTGATCATCTATCCAGACCACTAAAACTTTCTCCGTATCAGCAATAACCCTGTTTCACTTGCTTATTATTTCGTTTCACCTGCACTGAAAAATCTGTGGTTTCGCGCAGCCGCCTTCATCGAGGATCTCAGCCGGACCTTCTGGACGACTTGCTGCGGCTTCTACATCGGCACTTGCTGCTTCACCTGCACTTTTATGTTATGGAAAAGAGCCTCTTCCCTTAAACGTCGTGAACCAACCTCTGCTAGCTTCAAACTTTTCTTCTGCAGCCTCCCCACCGCTCTCTGCCTTCATAGAATTGAAAAGAGTTAGGGACTTGCTCTAGGTTTGGGCTTAAGGGAATTCTAGCTGGTTTGATCATCTATCCAGACCACTAAAACTTTCTCCGTATCAGCAATAACCCTGTTTCACTTGCTTATTATTCTTGTGTTCATTGGAGAAGCATTTTCAATTTCCTTCAAGAACTTTCTCTTTGCGTCCACAACCTGGCTAACTGTCCAGTGCAAGAGGCCTGACTCTCAGCTTATCTCCCCTTTCAGCACGCCTTCCTCACTGAGCTTAATCCTTTCTAGCTTCTGATTTAAAGTGAGAGGCATGTGACTCTTTCCTTCACTTGAATATTTAGAGGCCATTATAGAGCTATTGATTGGCCTAACCTCGATTTTGTTGTGTCTTAGGCAATAGGGAGGCACAAGGAGAGGGAGAGAGATGCCGAAACAGCCAGGGAGTGACCGAGTCGGAATACAAACCACACTTATCAAGTAAGCTCACATCTTCTTGGGCACAGTCACGGCAACCCTGAACAATGACAATAGTAACATCAAAGACCACTGACCACAGATCACCACAACCAATACAGAAATAGTGAAAAGGCTTGAAATTCTGCAAGAATCACCAAAGTATGACACAGAGACAAGAAGTGAGCCAATGCTGTTGGAAGAATGGTGCTGACAGACCTGCTAGACACAGGGTTGCCACAAACCTTCAATTCGCAAAAAACACAGTGTCTGTGAAGCACCATAAAGCAAAACTCAATAAAATGGGGTATGCCTGAATAAGACTGACTTCATTTTGGAAAATGTAGTTAACATGACTCTACTTAAAGGCAGAACTAGTCATAAGTTATAGAAACAAGTTCTATATTTGAAAATTCAGGAGTATGATAGAACAATAGCTGTAACAGCCTTTAAAAAGTAAAATGATTAGGTTCATATGTAGCCTAAAAGTGAAGAAGATAAGATTCTATTATTACAGCATTCCCTACTTACCAGAGTAATAATTTTGGTTCATTGCAAACATATATAAGAATCAAATTAAGAAAAGAAAGGTTCTGCATTCTGTTATCTCCATAATATAAACTAACCTTTCCCAAAGTATATACCAAGGAATCCCTAGGTTCTCAGGATACTGGAATGAACTGGAAGCTAGTTAAATAGCTTCTACTTTAGTGGAAGACCTCTCAAAGCTTTTGTTTGCACATTGTGAATCTGAGAGGGGAGATACCCTACATTATGAGATTAAAGAACCTTTTTAGTGGAGTCTGTAGCTATAGCAGAAATTATTTGAAACACTGATGTAGACTATTAAATATGGCCTCTGAGAGCAAAGAAAAACACCACAGAAAAGTTAGTGCTAGTGCAGAAAACTCTAACACCATCATCACCACAAAGTATCCACAAATTTAAGAGAGAAAAGCACTCTAGTAACTGTCTACAAAAGCTTCTACTTTGTCAAAATATGCCTGCTCAACTGCTTACAACCTGGTCCTTAGGAGATGAAGAAATAGCACTTTCTGTGTATGGTTTAATAAAGGAATATAATTTACCTAGTTTTTATCTTCTCTGCAATTGATAAACTTAAGCATGATAGAGAGAAAAAAAGACTT